AAAGGGAGCCAAAAATATTTCCCCAAATCTTAGACCACTAGAGCCCATTTTCAAAAACTTACTCCGTCTGACTGGTCATTCCCCAACACAGGCAAATGCAATACTGCAGCCTGTCCCATGGGCCACCAGGCACATGTCCAATCCTCTTCACATTGGCCTAAACTATACCAAAATGGGGCTTGAAAGCTTTCCCTCCATTCAAGCTCCTGCTCCTGCATTCTCTGTTTTACAAGTTCAGAAATTTCTCTTGAGATGCTAATTTGTACTTTTAAAAAAACAACTTATACTTGGAAAGCGTGCTGCAATATTATATGATGATATAATTATTTATTCAGTCCCAGCTGAGCCTATAGAATCCAAAAGCTTTAAAAATCTGTATCTATAGTTATGAATTTAGACAATACTCCCCCACATCATTTATACACACACACACACACACACACACACAGTGGCCCCAAATATTTAAGTTTGAGACCACTTTTTATTGATGCAACTCTGCTATCTCTATTCTGACATCCTTGATACAACCCTAGTGAGGCTTAAGATTAAAATCACAAGTCTTGATATTCAGACAAGGAATAAAATATAAACTCTAATGATGACCTCATGTGCCCAGAATTATGCCTTTAAAGATCGAGCTGGCTTAAAATATGGACCAAACAGAATATAGCATTTGGAAAGACAGCTTTTCTTTACCCAATCTTAATGCAATAAAGGACATTTTCATCTTTATTATTAACAATGCCATTTAAGCCCATGCATTTTTTCATGCTTTTTCCTCTTTTTAATTTGGGAATATGACTACTTGTAACAATAAATATGCAGCAAATGATGGTAATAAATTACGATCACAGTCTGTTGACTTAGAACAAAGGAAGCCCAGAACAATATCTTGCCCATTTTAGGGACTTAATTTGTGGAATTTTTATACAAGATGAACTTAACAACTCCTGAAAAGTTTTTACACTTGTGTGGTGTAGGTCAGCGACCGTAACAGGGAGGCGGCTTGGAAGAGGGCTTCATGGAGCCCTCCATAACCATCCTCAGCCTTGCATCCAGCCAATCCCAAACAGAATGCAACTGCAGTGGAACGCTCTGTATCCTAGCCAAACCTGGCTCCAAAACAAGTCCCCAAGCTGTGTCTCCAACAGACGACATCTCAAAGCTTCTCTCATGTTGACAGACTAGAGACACCGCTGGTGCTAATATCACTGTGTTTATATCCTCACAATATCCGCCCTTGTGCCTTGTAAAGATGTTGTGTCACAGTTGGAACATAAAAGCATGGAGGTGGGGAGTCCACACACACAAAGAAAACATAAAACAAGCCATTTTGCCCAAGGGATTCATTTGCATAAAAGTACCAGTGACCTCCTTTATAATCTTAATTGAACTACACAATTTTTCTGGGCCTCAATTTCTCCTCCCATAGAATGAGGAACTTGAAAAGGCTAATCTCAGAAATCCTTTGCAATGCTCAGAGCCTCAGATTCCCGGTTTCATCAAACACATGAATCTGGATTGCTTATCTAAACCTGCAATTAATCCCGGGTGCCTAGGTCCATTTTTTGTTATCTTTAACCATTTTTCCAGAAGAATCCCTCACAGAGCAGGATAATAATAGAGAAGGGAGCCCAGATGCTCCCTAAGGTAGAGTCTCCTGGCTCTACCCCTCCCCTCCCTCCCATCATCCCACCACCACCCAATGAAAAGCTGCCTGGGATGAAGACAGCCTGCAGAGTCGCACACCCAGCAGGAGAAACTGGGTGATTATTAAGAAGTAAACCACTTAGACTTATCTTAAATCTCACTTCCTTCCTTTACTCACAGATGAAACGAAGGTAAATGTTTCCAAAGGAAAGTTCTTGGCTCTCTCTGTCTCTCTTTCTGTCTTTTTTTTTTTTCCTTTCCTCACAAAAGGGGCTTTTCTGGAGATGGGAAAGGGAGTGCAAAACAGAGAAGCGAACAAAGGACTTGGAACAGTCTGTGCCAGGTCTCCCAATAGTGCCGAGAAATGCCGGTTCTTTATTAGCTGTAGCTCAGCTTCCCCTGCAGGTGTTGTGGCCACAGCTATGTGGCGCCCAAGCACAGGCTGCCAGAGCACCTGGGCCCTGACTGAGCCCGGAGGGACTAGCCCCAGGTCCTTGTAGGGAGGAGCTCTGCTGCAAAGTGGCCCACGGGAAAGCAAGCCTTAGGGTCAGCAAACTGCCAGCCCCTATAAGTAGATCTAATTATGACTGCTTACTTCGAAAAGAGGATTTAACTCAAAACAGATTTATAGCAGGGCAGTTTCCAAAGGGCAAGATTCCCAAGCCTGACCTTTGAGAAAGTCCTATAGGCTTCACTGCCCCGGGAACACAGTAGGCCAGTCACAGTGGATGACTCAGATTGCAGAGAAATTCAGAGAAGCCAACTTAAGTTGCCAGAGTCATAGTGGGTGTATAGTTTAACAAACAAGTAGTCAAGGTGTGCCCACAGTGCCATGTGCACCGGTGGGCACTTGGAACAGATCTGGGAAGAAAAAAGCATTAACAGTAAAAAATGTGCAACGTTGAAGTATAACCTGTTGAGTCAAAAAGTACAATTTCAAACCCTTGAAGTGGTTTGATATGTAAGTGAGAGTCAAAGGTCCCTCAGTGAATTCTTATCTAAAACATGACAGTTTGGTGACATATCCCAGTTGTGCCAATCAAAGTATCAAAAGCATCTTAAGATAAGTTTTTAAAAATTTACTTTGATTTTTTAAAAACCTCTACACAGCACTTGGCTCAGGAGACATAGGGGTTGTAGTTGTCTTAGTAAACTTAACTCCCAGAAGGGGCCTGGAGTTGTTCAACGTGAAGTTGATCAACACGAAGTTAATAAATAAACACATCTGGGATCCACTCATTGCATAACTGATGTAAAAGTACTGTTTGAACGGTTCGATTACTCTCAGAGAACACAAACATCAGGAAAACAAAAAGAGAGCCTGGGTAAGTTCCGCTGTTCCATCCACACACTTCACTGAAACCAACAACTCTGTCAGAGAACTGGTGCCCCTTCAGGCACGTACTTTGGGTTTGAAATTGGAGAAAAGAGATCTATCTGGTTAATGAAATAATTTACAGGATGATCAGAAAATAATTAATCCACACAGGTGTTTTAAAAAATTATTTGATTTCAGAGCTTTTAAAAAGTCTGTATCAAACAAGTTGTGACCCTTTCACCTGACCATATCCCAGCACAGGGGTGTGTTGCCAGTACCTGTAACCTACACTGTCATTAGAAACTTGTTTACAACTTTACACTGGAAAGTTCAGAGATTGAGGAGGTGGCATTTATTCTCACTGATTGGTTACCGAAAATCTCAAATTAGACCAATGATGTGTTCAAACATGAAGCTGACAAGCCTGAGCTGACAGAGCAGGAGACAGGCTGAAGGAAACCGTAAACTGAGGATGCTGTGCAGCCATCATTGTCCTTTGCGTTTGCACCTCCCCAGAAACAGGCCAAGTGCAATGACAAGTAAACAGCACCAAGAGTTTTAAAAAAAACTTAACCCAAACTTGCTCTGTTTTATGTTTTTATTTCCCCTCTTATTGTGGTAGCTTTTTCTGGTAAGTAAACTATTCTGGGAAAACCAGATCTCCTTTTGGTAACTAGATAATAAAGCTGGGATTGGTAAAGCTGTTCCTGAGTAGCTTTTTAAAAAAACATTTTTATTTTTCAACTACAGTTGACACACATGATTATATTCCTTTCAGGTGTACACCTCAGTGTTTAGACATTACGTATGTAACTTACTAAGTGATCATCCTGATGGATCTTGCACTCATCTGAAATTACTGACTGTATTCCTCCATGCTGCACTTTACATCTCCATGACTGTTCCGCAACAACCAATTTGTACTTCTTGATCCTTTCACCCATCCTCCCAACCCCCCTCCAATCTGGCAACTGTGAAAATGTTCTCTGTATCTACGAATCTGTTTCTGTTCTGTCTCTTTATTTTGTTGTTTATATTCAGTTGTTGCTAGATATGTATTTATTGCCATTTCATTATTTATATTTCTGATCTTTTTTCCATCTTCTTAAAGAAGACCTTTTAACATTTCATGTAATATCAGTTTGGTGGTGATGAACTCCTTTAGCTTTTTCTTGTCTGGGAAGCTCTTGATCTATCCCTGATTCCCTGAGTGACTCTTAATTTGCAAGTGCTATGCACAGAAGCAGACACGCTTGGTAACTCAAAGCATCAGGATTCAAGTCATTGGTTTCAAAGATTGTGAAATTCACAGATATAACTATTCAGCTAAGGGACAAAAAAGGACAGAATAAACTAAAAAGAAGATGCTTAAAATACTGCGTAGCATAGAGCTCGTCAATCTGGAGTCAGCTTCAAATACAACAATCCCTAGTCTGAGAAAAACTACCTACAAGGATATATAGGCAAGGCTCAACACTGAGTTTTTGTTTTGATTTTGATTTTTTTCATTGTTTTAAGAGTTTTTAACTCTTAAAAAGTTAAGCAGATAGTTCTAGTACATTAAGTAATTTCTATACATCTAAACATTAAGAGTTTCTGTACTGGCATTAAGAATCAATAGGATTCATTTTAAATTGTTAACTTTAAAAATTTGCCTTCCTGAATAAGTGCAATTTCAATCCCAAAGAGAACAAATAGATTAATTCAATTAGTAGAGAGGCCTTTCAAATGTGGGTGTTTCATTATTCAAGTTCATATATAATCCTGTGTTGGTTTTCCAACTATAAAGTTTATAGCTTACAAAATTCTAGTGGGAATGTGGAGTCCTACTTATATGCAGCCTCCAATATATTCACTTTAATAGTTCCAGAAAAAGTCCATCTCGCCCTCCGTGGTCAGAAGCCATTCAGAAGTTGGAACCAGACTGGGCACCTATCTGTGGTGTCACTGGAACAAAGTCTGGTGCCTGACAGCAGGGACAGAGATGAGGGCTGGGCACCCTGATAGGCCTGGTGGCTCATGAGCACATTACCTTTCCCGCTCCTGCTCCAGCAGGTTGGTGAAGTCGTCGCTCTTGTTCATGTAGTCAGTGTGCTTGTGCTTCTCGTTTTCTAACTCGTCCACTGTGCGCCTGTGACACTTCTCTGCCAGCAAGAGTTGCTCTAACATGCGCCTGTAGGTTTCTCTCTGTTTCTCCTCAAGTCTGTCCAGCTGAGTAAGCAAACATGGGAAAGAGTTTAATATTTTGCTTTATTTGTATATGACTCTAAATAATTTGTTTACATTGGTCTAATAATTTATTACCTGAAGGGGCATTCTCAACCATTTTCCCCATTCCATCATTTTCTCTAGGTCACTTGGCTTTATAAATTAGTCAATAATAAGACTGCAGTAACCTCTGGGCTCTGGCCCTTGTGCTGTGAACATAGGTGTGGTTCTTGAACTTGCAGGAAAACAAAGCCTGTCATTGTTTCATGAGGTGACACAAAACCCTCTAGTCAGACAGAAACAGGATAACATCCCTCCTGACCTTGGGACACATAAGAGCTTGGCATGCTCTTGGCATGCTTGGCATGCACATGCATCAAACTTCTCCCCTGAAAGGTAATTGTCATCATCACAATCCTTTTTTTGAAGGTTTGCAGTTAAAGGCATTCCAAGGAAAAGTATACAGAGGACCTACAATCCTGTGTTTTTCAAGAGATGATAAACATAGGGAGGATTTCAGAACTTGTAGAGAGCCCAAATCTCAGACTACAAAAGAGCTTATCAAATGTTTTTACAGGGCTTTTTGCCTATTTCTCTGGCCAGGCAACGAGATCTTTAAGGGGTCATGCCCTGATCATCTTTTTAGTCCTTAGTGCCTAGCAAAGTGCCAGGAACAAAGTAAGAGTTCAGTAAATGCTTGTTAAATTGGATCAAATCTTACAATATTGATAGGTCCCTATCCTACTGTCCTCTTCAAATTCTAGTACAGGGTTTCTCAACTTCAGCACTACTGACATTTTAGGCCAAATAATTTTTTATTTGGGGGGGCTGTCCTGTACATTGGAGAATGTTTAGCAGCCTCCTGGGCCTCTGCTCCCAAGATGTCAGCAGTATCACCCCCAGTTGTGACAAAAGTATTCCCAGACATTACCCTATGTACCCTAGTAGGGAGAACTGCTGATTTCCCCCGGTGGAGAACCACTGTTCTCCGAATATGTTGAAGCAGACTTATTTAAAGCTCATTCTCAATCCATAAGCAAGTCCCTAAAACCCGAGGGGACAGCTCCATGGGGCATCAGCATCAGAGCTCTTCCAGATGGGTTTTCCATGTTTGCCTGTCAGTCATTGGAAGGATCCAAGCTGCCCTCTACAATTGCATATTTTTATTGTGAATGAGTAATTTCTGGGGCCCAAAATAAAAAAGATACTGTCCCCATAATACTCAGTGCCTTCTGCCTAGATCTTCTAAAAGCAAGTGAGAAGATGGACTGGTGATGAAGCCCAGGTTAACAGGTAGCTGATAATATTTGAGATCATCAGGAATTGGCAAATTGTACCTTTATGTGTCTGGTGAATTTCTGTCATCTTAAAGGGACAGTCTATAGAAGAGATTTTCCCATAGCTTCATATTACAACATATTTTCCCCAGGACTCTCTCATTCTTTTACAAATGTAGTATTTATTTGGTTTTATTTTTTTTGCCATATTTTCTAGAATTTTCCAAGCATTGTTGAAACATCCTCCTCCTCCTCATCATCAGAAATGTAGAAGGAGCCACTCTTTCCCTCTTTCAATCCTTTATGATAACATAGGACTCTCCATGCTTTTGAAAGTATTTGAAAGAATAGCTTTTGTCCACTTATTTATACCCTTCCCAGTCCTCATGAAGGAAGGAGGGGTGACTTATTTGAAGGTTGTGTTTGGAATAGGGAACTGGAAATGAGCAGCTGGACCTTTTCATTTCTTATTTTTGACTCTGCCTGTCACAAGATGATACATTGTGTTCTGTTGGCCCAAACTCTCTCTTAAGTGGTTTCTCCAAAGTCTAGAGGGGGAATATAAAAAGCTTGATGAGGTCATTTATTTATTTATACTAATAATAAAGCTAAATATTTTAAGTCATCTGTCAGACTTTTATAGTTATCTCTCAATCCATTCAGGGAATTCTGGAGGGGGTGGGTTGGATGGGAGCATTATTAATTGGATGGTCAAATGAGGTATCCTGATAGATAGACATTGTGCAGGACATCTAGAGAAAAAACAGCACATACTGATATTTGGTGTTCTGGGGCTGCCTGGACAAAAGGTGGGGTTTAGCCTTACCACATTCTATCCATGTGGGCCTTTGAAACAGTTATAGCCCTGGGGCTAGGCCACTGGAGTAGTTGCTGGGGTTTCTGTGGGCAATTTTCACCTCACCTACACTAGCTCAGCTTGACCCCCAGCAGTTTGTCTCTAACCTATGGGAAGGATGCCGAGATATTGGTGTGTGCTCTGTGTTTTTCATGCAGAACTACAGACCCATTTCTCTTTAGCTATAAAACCTAAAAGCTAGTGTGTGCAGATCTAGCTTTCAATTTTAAACTCTGGATATAAGAAACAACATATGTAGCAGCGATCGGCGTGTCAGATCCTGCTTCTTATTGTTTTGTTCGTAACTGCACTGAGTTCCCAGGAGAGAACTGAGGTGAGCTAATCCCTTGGATCTATGTGGCTTGCCCAGAGACTCAGACCACCGCCTGTGGCTATAAGCTCTGTAGATTCTTCATTCATGTATACTGTATCTATGGCTTTTGGTTTTCAGAATCCAAGGATTTTAAATGGGGAAGAACTTCAGTATGCTTTAGACAAAAGGATCATAGTTCAGAAAATGAGTTTAGCTCTGTTACTAGCAGAAGGCTAACTGAAGAAGTATTAAGGAATTTAGAAAGAAATAAATCTTTCTAGGAGGAAATATGAGGTCTGAAAGACTAAACTGAATTTATACAAAGGGGAAATGGATCTAAGTGCTCTTAAAGACAGAGCTATGAAAAGTGAGCTAATATAGTCATTGCCAAATCAGGATGTGTGTTCAGAGGAGGCAGAGACAGGAGAGCCCAGAAAACAGAGCAGTGTGACTCCCCCCACAAAGAGGGTGTCAGGACCCCAGAAATGTTTGAAGACTGCAATAGCTACTCAAACCGGTTGCATGAAATGTTTAAACATTAAAATCTGAGAAGATCAGGATAGAATATTTGAAGTATTATTTGGTGAATTTCAGGGTGTCAAATATTTACATGGGTCCCAAGTGAACATGCTCAAGAAATTTGGAAATGTAGAATTTAAAGGAAAGATGAGACAAATAAAAGGGGATTCAGGCAGGACAGCAGCAGACCCCGGCACAACAAGGATATGGTACGATGGGAAAGTACTCCTTAGTAAAGACTATCCAACTCAAGGACATAAAAGTGGATAAGATTTGTATTGAACAAAATTCCTCTTGGCAGACTCCTAACTCCTTGCTGTTACTTCTCTCACTGAGAGGGACCATACAATATAGAATATGGAAGGCAGCATTAGGAAAATAAATGTCTAGGTCTGAAAGCATAGGGGAAGCAGAAGCCAACAAACTAATTAAAACACTTTAAGATCCATAAAATAAGAATAGAGAAGGAAAGGGACCACTTGAACAAACTGGTCAAAATGTTAAAAAAAGAAAAAAAAAACCTCAGCTGAGCCTTCTTACTACAGAAAAAATTGTGACAAAAGAAAATATTTTTGTTGCCTTGAGTAGGACAAGTTACTCAAGGAATAGAAAGTTCAAACATGAGGGAAGCCTAAGTTCTGAGAACAGTAGCACCTGGGTAAGGTATGGTTCTCACTGAATCCCAAGGTGCTCAAGCTGCAGAAGTGACACCTGGGGTAAGGGTCATTCTCCAGCTGAAATAAGGAGGCAATAAGGAAAACCAATGGTAAGAGATGGGTTTCTTAGGCCTGGGCATAGGGGCTCAAAAAGAAAAAAAATAAACAGGTGTTAAATATACAGGTGGAAAATTGGAGCACCTAAAAATAAGACCTAGGCACAGAGAATGTCGCCACTGCAAATCCCTAAACTTCGCAAAAAGATATATTTCAAATGTCACTCACTGAGGGCAAGAATAGTACTGTATATATCCAAAGAGATTCCTCCACCCAACATAGGGTTTGCCATACCCCATAATTACTAACATTTTGATGGTAACAGTCTGTCTGATGTGGACAACTGCCCAGACTGACTGGAATTTTACTGTAGCTGAAGATTTTCTGTATCTGCCCTCTTTCCCTTAGACATCCCCCACATCTCTGCTTTGGTCTTGGGAGGGTAACATGGATCTGCATTGCACTGAGTTCTAGGGTCAAGGAATATCATTTTGCTTGACAGAAACTGATCTTGGAGCTGGGGGTTTTCTCAGACTTTTAAAATTTATGAATGTGAGGTTGGTACTATGATAATTGCATGGATCCAATAATTCTTCGGACTCTGAAAAAAAAAGTAGACTAGAGGCACTTTAGGATGTATTAATTCACCTTTAAATGTGTTTAAGATTAGGATCCCTCTCACTAAGGTTAAGCAGAATAAGAATTTGGAAAAGAAAAACACCGAAACCTTAATTTATTTGGAATTTTGCTTAAGAATTATAAATTTTGATATCCCAAAAGCTCAGGAGAATTTAGTATTTGATGCTTAATTTCTCCCCAGATATTTGGCAAGGCGGGGATGGGGGGGTGTCCACCATATTGGCTTCACTGCTTAACCTCTAGTAGTTCTATTGAGTAGCCTAGCTGGGCCGAATTTGGTATGGATATTTGAATGGGCAGCAAGGTTTTGGCTTGAGGTGTAGTATGGATTCTAGGAACAAGAGCTAGACTATCTGTTTAGGGTCCCAGGACACTAATGGAAGAGTCATTTATTGGGGGTTTTGTCCCATGAAGTTGAAAGCAGGACTCCGGTTCCTGGGTAACATGAACTTGATTGTTAAGCCCAGAAGGCTTCAGAGACCAAGAGATGGAGATGGTGAGAGATAAATCTCTTATCCTTCCAGCACTGTGTTTCTCTCACAAAAATAGGACTTCACCATTCTGGCAGCATTGGGAATGGCAGCTTCTGTCCTTTTCTCTACCTCCTCACTCACTCTTTCTCAAGGGAAGAATAAACTCCAGATTGTTTAGAGAGAGAAACCAAGAAATCATGCCCAGCTTAGCCAATTCCAAAAGGACAACCCACAGGGTGGGTGTTTTCTGTTCTGCTCTTCTGTCCATGAGGCAGTAGCATTTGGGTTAGGTCCACTTTCTGAAGGTAGGTCAGAAACTCCTTTCTGTGTGTACTGTCCATAAAGTCAGTGCACTAGAGGCAGTGACTCTGGTAAGTGCATGTGCTTTTCAGACCTACTGCTCCTTTGAGGGGTCATTCTGAACTCTAGTTTGGGAGAAAAGAATTAGGAGGCTCAAAAGATACCATTTATCCAAACTGAGTTTCCCCAGTTCAGGTGATTATAATAATAACAACATGGAACTGATATTTTGACTTCTATATGTCTTTTACTCCTCAAATCCCTCCAAGTTCGGAACTAATTAAGGGTGTGAGCAATTACCAACCTTAGATCAAAGCAAATACCAATGACAAATATTTGTTGAGTACCTAAAATGTATCAGACTTAATGTTAGGAGCTTTACCAACATTGCTTCATTTAACCCTCACAACAATTCTATTATATGTGCACTGTTGTTTCTCCTGCTTGACAGATAAGGAAATTAGATAAAGAGCTGAAGCAACACAAGCAAAGCCACACACAACTAGTAACCATGGATCTCAAACATAAAACTGGATTCAGCCTGTTGACTGCATCCTACCACAAAATCGTCTCTTAGCATTTTGGAAAAAGATGAGAACAAAGTTTCAGTTTATCCTAGTCGCAGAAAATAGAATATTATAAGATCATCAATCTGCTGTGAATACTGTGTATTCACAGAAGCAGAACTTGACTAAAAGTTAAACTGTAATAAATTGGTTCAGACTTTACATTTATATGTTCTTTTTCATTTATGATACTAATTTCACATCTATGAATTTTTGTACATGAAATCTAAAGAGTCAATATGGTTAGATCCATCAACTGGTTCCCTAATTCAGCATCAAATTTCTATTACATTGTGAGAGTATTTTTAACATATAGCATTATGGGTAATTAATAACAATAAATAATTCCTAATGTAATCTCATATCAAAATTATTAAATTATAGCCACATTAGATTTCATTTCATCTTAAAGAATTGCCTTAAGCATTCCTTTGGGATGTTGCCCCCACCACTGTATTTCAGCCACTGGAATGAGATCATTGTAATTATCACAGAACTGATAAGATACCAAAGCACAGTGGCTTTAGAATCATAAATATCAATAATGAAATAAATTTAATTTTAGGTCACCAATTTGATAATAATCCTGACAACTCAATGCTAAAGCCAATAAGCACTTCAAATGTTACATTCATAATCTTTAGAGAAATTAAAGAAAAACAAACTGCAAGAGCAGGCAACTATCATAATCATATGAGAAATATATTTCCAACTTTACATATATTCAAAGAAATGCTTCAAAATTCTTATTATTGAATTGTATCCATAATAATTCATGAAATTTAATCATAGTTTAATTCTATAGTAGTGTATCATAAAAATGTTGCCTTTGAAAAAATATTAAAGCATGTAAAATGGAAGAATGTGGAGGTATCGGTCTGAGGTTCCCTTCTGAGGGGATTGTTGGTGTCGTGCCTTTACCTCTGAAATTGGTTTCTCATAGACATCTTCTCCTATGGATTTCTCCTGGGCTAGGATGGCGTCTCGGTGCAGGACCCGCAGCACTTTCTCTGGCTCCGCAGACCCGTAATGAGCCTCCAGAACCTCAGGCTTGGTTTTCTCTGTCTTCAGCATGTGGATCACATCTTCCCTGGCCTGTGGTAGAAAGTGCAGCAAGGTCAGATGGTTGGCAACATAAACCACATGCCGGGCTCACAAAATCAGCACGGAGCTTACTGAATACATCCCCCACCTCTTCAGGGCGATTGTCAAATTCACTGGGTTTTCTGTTCTTATTTTTTACCAAAAGCAGATTGGCAAGCAGATACTCTGCTTCAGGTTGCTAGGAAGCAGGCAGGCAGCAAAGGATTTGTGCTAATATTAACTACATAAAAACTGCTTTTTCTAAGTAGCAATGATTATAAGAAGGGGTTGGACTGCTCCTGGGATATTTACCCCCTTTCAGTGCAGATAAGGCCAATGACAATTAAAGTTTTCTAGTTTTCTATTTATGCTTAGTGTAGTATTCAAATATGGTTCAAAATAAAACTCTGATCTCCCCATTCTAGTTATAGCTGCATGTGCCATTAACAAAAACAGCCTGTACTGGTGATTTCCTGTTTCCCATCAAGTGATTTATTTTGCACAGAAAGGCATGGTTGGGAATTCACATGCTGCTGGACTGGGCTTTTTAAATTGACTATATTCACACTGATGGTGAAATTTAACCTTGTTAACATACAGATTACCAATCAGGTGAATCAGGATGGTTGTGTCAGAGTTGTTCTTTTGTTTTTTTAGCAAAACTTTTTTAGCATCTCACTGAAGCTCTCTAGAAAACCACATAATTATAGGTTTTATATCATATTGATATGGTCCCCATCACATAATGCAAATCCATCTGGATGTACTTTCTACTGGTTAGTAGTGATTACCTTTCTAGTTACAACAAAGCTGACATTTGCTAAATGTACTCCCATTTGGTCACACACTTGTTTTTCCAGTAATGGTGATGTTTATGAAGTATCCTGACTTCATTTTAACTTACACTAAAGAATAAACTGGTTGGTAATAGAGTTCAGTCTATGACAATGGAATAGAACCTCTCCCTGTGTTATGCTAACTATGGATTTGAAATTATAAACCTGACTTATTATCATGGTATTATAAACATCAGAGCTAACTAGCTGGTCCTGAGATAGCACAATTATCAAGTTGGTCTTTCTTGAGGTTTTTTACTTTTATTGCTAATTCATAGCCTTCAAAATAATCTAATTCCAGATGGCTAAAGACTAATTTATTACAGAAACGTCAATGGACTGGAATTTGCAGATTTCCCCATGTTGTTTCTGCCACATACAATGTGCTCATTTCAAGACAAAAATGGAAAATATTAATTTTGAAGAACCTAGTGGTTTGGAATGAGTGAGACAGTTAAAGTCAGAAATAGTTCAATAGAAAAACAATGTGTCTGCACGTAGGGTGAAAGGACACAAACCCAGATGCAGTGTCAGACTAGGCTGTTCAGTGTCTTCACACAAGTTAGAAAAGGTGCTAAGAGGTCAGAGTGCAGCGTGCCTAGTGAGCAAAGCATGGGCTGTATTTTAGCCCCTATTCATCCCCTCTGCCAGGCACTCTTGCGGAAGGCATAACTCCGTATCTGTATACCGTGGCCCTATAATGAAGGAACCTAAGGTATGTCGATTGCTAATGGTCTTCAGGCAGGAAGTTCTTCCTATGTTTACCATATTGATGAGTATATGTAGTATCTTCTAAAATAATGGTTCTTGAAGCTGACTGCATTGGAATCAAGGGAACTTTAAAAAATTCCAGTGTCCAGGCCATCCCAGACCAATCACATCCAAATCTTTAGGAGAAGGAACTAGGCATTAGTACTTGTTAAAGCTCTTCAGGTGATTCCAGAGTTGAGAGTACTGTTCACTAATCAGTGAAGAGACCTAAAAACCATACTGACTACAAATCCTTGGCATTATCTAATCTAAACCTCCCCAGTTCAGTACATTTCCCACCTTCAAGTACATTTCCTTTTACTGTTCATAGAAAGGTGTTGTCACCTTACTCCTCACACCAGAGGTCAGCCTTTTGCTTTGGCCAAAGTTGAAGGAAAACAAGCTGTCTTAAAAAAAGAAAAAAGAAAAAAGAAACACAGGGCCCTGAATTTATGGAATGAGAGAAAGGAAAATTTGGATTTGCATTTGGAAGTGAAAAAGGCGACAATGGAAAATTGGTGACCTAGAAGTCTCAATAACAAACTACTGTCTCCTTTCCATCTTTTAATCAGATGAAGCAGTTTAAGGGCTGGGTGATAAAGGTGAAGGGCTTATGAAATTGGAAGTTATAAAATACTCATGAAGATGCAAAGTATAGCATAAGAAGTATAGTCAATAATATTATAATAACTATGTATGGCACCAGGTGGGTACTAGACCTATTGAGGGGATCACTTTGTAAGTTATAAAAATGTCTAACCTTGATGCTGTACACCTGAAACTAATATAAGATTAAATGTCAACTCATTTTAAAATTTAAAAAAAATTAAAAAATCAAATGAAGTAAAGGCTGTTTCCTAAATCTCACATTTTAACATGTGAAATACAAAGACTTATAGGGCAGACATAGAATGTACTGTCTTATGCATAATAAGTTGAGATGCTGATTCATTATGAAATGTAAATATTTCAAATTGTCTGCTCCTTGCTCTCTGAAACAGATATAGAAGTTTTAAAAAGGAACAGAATGAAAACAGAACTCAAAATCTTCAGAAAAAAATATAATTTAAGCTTATATGTACTTAGGTAATTTAGAAAAATATTGAAAAACCAAAAGAAAATGGCTTATAAGTTAAGCATTAAAATATTGTATTGAGACTAGGGCTGTTTTTAATTCTCCCTCCTCTACTTCTCTCTCTCTTTCTTCCCCTTCCAATCTTCCTCCTTCCCTCCCCCGCAACTCTTTTGCTTATATGCATTTTCTAAATTTTCTACAGTGAACATGTAATTAACTTTATAAAGAGAGACAAAGTTATGCTTATAAAGAAAAATAAATGCTTCATCATTCCTATTTCATACGAATGAAACAAAACCAAATAATGTAACAGAAAGCTCTCTCTTTTTGAGGTACCAGATGCTGAGAAACTGCCCGCATTCTGGTCATAGACAAGCCCATGAAAAGTGTCTCTGGGGTTTAGCACAAGAAGGAAGTGAACCAAAATTGCCTCAATGATTATTCTATACTCTATTTCTGACATTGTCTTCATTTCTTTCCTAATTATTTCAAACATAGCAGTGAAGCCACAGAAATAACAGCCACTGAGCTTGGTAAGTGTACTCAAAACAGAGTGATGTAAAGATCATAGGTTTTTCCATCTAATATTTATTCTGATTAGTCACATTCTGACTAGACAGCTGAAGAAATCACAGCAGAACTATTTCCATATGGCTTTTCCACAAATGACATCTCTGAAAAAATGTTTGTCTCTAATTGTGGATTGAGGTAATCAAAGAGTGGCTCTCAAATGTAAATCAAATAATCTTGAGTTCATAAATTATACTGCTAATTAGCTTAAACTTACATGATCTGAGTATAGAGGAAATTAAATAAAGCTATCAGGCAAATACAAATTTAAATTAACATGGAAATAAAACTCACAGCGTGGAGTAATAGAGTGAGTCCAGCTTTGGAGAAACTCAGAATTTGTTTCCAGTCCCAGCTGTGCTGTGTGATTTGTACAAGTTGCTAACAGTGCTTTGACCTAATTTTGTTGTCTATAAAATAGGATTTTAATGACTGGCTCATACGATTATTGTTAGGATGAAACACAATATCAATATATAAAATAACTAGTATAGAAGTTGGCACACAGTAGGTGCCAAGTCCATAGTAACCATTTAGTTTCTATTAGGTCCCCATAATTAGATGCTTTTTTGCTGCATGGGGAGAAAATAAATTTTATAAGATATATTTTTCCCTAACTAAATATAGTGTTTAAGATTGACATAGTTTAACATTCTAAACATTTCAAAATTTGCCCTTAACATTTTTTCAAAAAGAAATTTTTAAATCAGAACAGCCTCTTTCCAAAAGTTATTTACTCTCCCTACCTCAGTTTCCTCATCTATAATGTGGGGACACCAGCCCCTCTGTGTCGCAGGGACCATGCAAAGCTCTAACAAGGTTGTGCAAATAATGAGCTTTTAAAATTGTAAATATGTAGCTGTTTCAGTTTAAAAGTCCAAGCCGTTTGGTTTAAAAATATGTAAATATTGTTGGCATTTATTTTCTTGACCAAATCACCTTATTTTATTTGAAGAAAATAGTTTCTTTCTTTCCAGCTGATGTGAAACACCTAATTCTTCTGTCCTGAACAATGTGCTTACGATTGAACTATATGGTGATATGATACATATACTATACATTTTATTCATATTGTGTTGGCCAAAAAGTCATTTAGTTTTTTCTGTAAGATAGCTCTAGTAGTGCTTAGTTGTATTTAACTTCATTCAAAACAATTTTGTTAGATTGTATTGATAGCTGTTATATCACCATGCATTTAAAAAAAACCTTATCAAAATTGGCTAATTTTTGTGCAGCATTTTAATATTGAAGATGGAAGAAAATATGCAACATTTTTGGCATATTATGCTTTACTATATAAAAAAAGGTAAAAATGCAACTGAAATGCAAAAAAAAAAAAGAGAGAGAGAGAGAGAGAGATTTGTACAATGTATAGAGAAGGTCCCCTGACTGATTTGCAGTTTTGTGCTGGAGATTTCTTGCTAGACAATACTCCATGGTCAGGTGGACCAGCTGACATTGATAGTGATCAAATCCAGACATTAATTGAGAATAATCAAATTATACCATGCAGAAGATAGCCAACATACTCAAAATATGTAAAACAATAAAGTTATTGTGAAAATGAAAAATGTGTCTTATATTTTACAGAAAAAACCATATGGACTTTTTGGTCAACTCAATAGTTTAAGGACTATAGACACTAATTACACAGGAAAAGATGCTACAGTGATGTAACACTGCTCATTGTATATTTAGAACCACACTATCCACCACGAGCTTACTAAAAGCTTTATCATTGCTATAATAATAACAATGTAAGGAAAAAAGTGTTGCCTATA